CTGAACACTTCATCAGATGGTAACATAACTTTTGTTATCCAGAAAAATAAAGAAACTCAAGAGGTGAAGAATAACCTGTTTACTTCTAGTTTTACATATTCAGTTGATTTTTTCCTTTCTGAATGTCCCAGCCTTCTGCCATTCTGTTAATCATTCTTTAAGGGTTGGTCTCAAGAAATTCTGTTAGTTTCCCTTTACTGGAGAATGTCTTTATTTCCTCTGCATTCATGAGGGATAGTTTCATTACATTTAGGATTCAAAGGTGAGAGTCTTTGCTGTCAGCACTTGATAAATGTCATGTCACTTTTTCGGGCCTGCACAGTTTCCTTTAAAGTAATATTAAAATAGAATTTGCATTGGTGTTCCTTCCTGTTGTTTCTCCCTGTTCTTAAGTTTTGGGGTTTTTTTTTTTAGTCTTTAGTTTTCAGGAGATTAATTATGATGTATCTTGGTATGGATTTCTTTGGGCTTATACTATTTTGAGCATATCAGCTTCTTGAATCTGTAGATTTATATCTTTCACCAAACTGGGGGAATTTTTGGCTATTATTTCTTTGAGTACTTTCTGGCACCACACTTTCTCCTCTCCTTATGGGACTCTGATGATCCAAGTGTTAACTCTTTTGTCTGTAAGGCTTTTTTCCAGTTATTTGTTCACATTGCATAAATTTTATTGATCTGGCCTCAAGTACCCTGATTTGATCTTCTGTCACTTCTACTCTACTACTGAGTCCATCTGAGTTTTCAATTTTTCAATAACTTTATGTTTATATCATTTCTACAGTTATTTTTCATAACTTCTATTTCTTTGTAAGATTTTGTTTTTAAAATTCTTTCTAGAGAGAATTTGTTATTGTTAAAGCATTTTTATTACAATTGCTTTAAATTCTTATTAGATAAATTCCAACATCTGAATCATATCATACTGGTATTGGTTTTTTTTTTTTTCTTATTCAGATTGGGGTTTTCTTGGTTTGTATTATGATGAGTAATATCTCATCACATTTCTCTCTCGTATCCTGGATATTTGGGTGATTGTCTTAGGGGTCTCTTAATCCTATTTAAATCTTCTATTATAGCAGAGAGTAGTCCAGTTTAGGTGTTGGTATAAATTTCTGCTTCTTTTATGTGTCTTATTTTCAATGAAGTATGGTTTTCTGAGCCTTTGCAACACTATTCTCGTCTGCTTGTTCTTTGGGTACTGCCAGGCCACCCACTCAGTCCCTTCTGGTGTCTTCTGCAGTGTAGGAATGTGCTTCCCTGGGCTGCAGTGCTGCTGGGCTACCTTCTGCAGGGGGGTGGGCAGACATTGCTGGGCCTGGGTCTCCTTTTGCCACTGGGTGGAAGGCAGGGAGACATAAGGCTTCACTCCTGCTATGAATGAACTGGGCCACCTGCTGGTACCCTGCTGTGGAGTTAGGGCTAGGGCTCCCTGGTAGGTCTCTTCCAGGCTTCTTTCCTCTTTCCTGTCCTTTGGCAGAAAAAGCAAACTTTTCTTTCTTCCTACCTCACTCTCCCCTTCTTTTTCTTCCTTCCTTCCTCCATTTCTTTCATTCTTTTTCCTTCCCTGTCTCTGCTATTGGTGGTTCTGGATTGTAGGCCTTTCCATGTCTCAGTTGGGTGTGGGAGATGAAAAGAAAGCTTAGGAAAGTCACCACATTGTTGTTCCTCAAATCCTGAGTTTCTCTACTCAACCCATTTTCTTTACATCTTTCAGAGTCCTTTTATCATTGTCTTTTTAATAAATTCCTAAGGTTTTAAGTTGTATTTGGAGTTGCGGTGGTGGTGTGCACACACATGTCTGTGCTCAGTAGTGTCCAACTCTGCAACCCCATGGAATGTAGCATGCCAGGCCCCTCTGTCCATGGAATTTTCCAGGCAAGAATGCTGGAATAGGTTGCCATTTCCTCCTTCAAGGGATCATCCCAACCCAGGGATCAGATCCAAGTCTCTTGTGTCTCCTGCATTGGCAAGTGGGTTCTTTACCACTGTACCACCTGGGAAGCCATTTAGAGTTGAAAGTGAAAGTCACCCAGTCATGTCCAGCTCTTTGCAACCCCATGGATAGTCCATGGATTCTCCAGGCTTAAATACTGGAGTGGGTAGCCACTCCCTTTCTCCAGGGGATCTCTCCAACCCAGAAACTGAAACCAGGTCTCCTGCATTGCAGGCAGATTCTTTACCAGCTGAGTCACAGGGAAGCCCAAGAATACTGGAGTGGGTAGCCTATCCCTTCTTCAGCAGATCTTTCTGATCCAGGAATCGAACCAGGGTCTCCTGCATTGCAGATGGATTCTTTACCAACTGGGCTACCAGCGAAGCCAGATTTAGAGTTGAGGAGGAGGGAAAAAATGATTCTACATCATCTTGCTCTGAAACCATAAGCCTGACTTTTAAAGGAAGCAATGGTTTGAGACTGTATTCAGAGGACAGGAAAAAAAATAGATTCATATTAACTCCACCAGATAGAGAAATGCTGCTTATTGTTTCTAAACTATATGATTCAAGAGGGCTTTGTGCATATGTTGGTCAGTAGTTAATAAAAAAGTCAACAAATGCTTTCTTTTTTTTTTTTGACACGTGATCCTGTGATTGGTGGCATAAATGATATAACTCTGGATAAGTGGATGTAAAACTGTGATGAGTCACATGTTTTAAAGCATGTATGTATTCAATGGTAAAAGCACAATTGGCCAGTGTTCAACATAGCTAAGCACTGTCTGTGAAGGACAGATGGTTGTAATTTTTAAAAATCCACTTCCTGCAGGGAGTGGAGTAGATGACAGAGAAGGTTAAAATTGCTGGATCAAGGATGGCAAACAAGATTAATTCACTTGCCGGTTCTGCTCAATTGAGACCAGATACTATATTCTGAAATATCCAAAAGCAATATCTACATTCAGCAAGGGAGTGCTGTGATCAATTAGTGATGTCTGCCATGGGTGTAAGAGTGGGCGGTGGCAGCTTATTGGCCCTACCCGTCTAACATCCTAAACCTAGAAACAAGCCCTCCAGAGCTCACCATATTCTCTCTGGTTGGAGACACAAGCAGAGACCTTACCAGCCATTGAGGGCCCAAGTGGGAGGAAAGGGACATATTGAGAGGTATAAAATAAGTAGATTTCTTGGTGTGAGACCCAGAAAGACAAACACGCAAAAATTTTGCCCAGAGGCTCGGAACATATGTGCTATTGGCTAGAATGGGACTAGGAACTGAATTTATATATATTCCACCTATATATATTTGTAAACAGGTTTGTGTGTTTTTTTTAAAAACAAGAGTTTTATTTTTACGAACAGCAAAAACACTACAAATGACCTGTCTCTGGGGCCCTATCCATTCTACTCTCACACATTTTGTACCAGCCAAACAGCTGTCAACACAGTTTGCCTTCGGGGTGAGGAGGTTGCCTAGACAGGAAATAAAGCAGGCATCACAATTTAATGCCTTGCTTCACAATACACATGAAGAGAAAGATGAAGAGATGAAATAGTCATCTGACAATCATTAAGAAAATATTAAAAATGAGAAAATGCTGAGTTGTTTGAAATTTAAAAAAAAAAATCTGTTATTCAACCATTGTGCTCCTACAATGGGGGAAAACCACCCAGTTGGGCCCTGCTAAGAGTTGGTTAGGATCTCCACCAAGGGGCCACCCTAGAGGACTTTTCAAGAGTAATTTTGACTTACATGTTTTTTTGCCTGAGGGCTGATTTTAATCCTTCTCTCCTGTATAATGGGGCTTCCCTGGTGGCTCAGAGGTAAAGAATCAGCCTGTGATGTGGGAGAAGAGTTTGATCCTTGGGTCAGAAGATTCCCTGGAGAAGGGAATGGCTACCCACTTCAGTATTCTTGCCTGGAGAATTCCATGGACAGAGGAACCTGGTGGGCTACAGTCCGTGGGGTCACAAAGAGTCAGACATGACTAAGCGACTAACATGTTCACTTTTTTCTTTCTCCTGTATAATACACACAACTTGGTATGTGCCACTCAGCTTCAAAGAGCAGCTGCCTTCCCCACCTGGTTCTATGTGGAACAGCTAAGACTAATTTAACTTGGTAAGAATCCAGTACTTTGTAAATACAAAGAGGTCCTCATCCTTTTGCTAGAAAGGTCTGAAGAATGTGATCCTGTTCCGTGGACCTACCAGGTTCATGAGCTATGTGGGTTGACCAAAAAGTTCGTTTGGGTTTTTCTGCAATATTGTAATGGAAAAACCTGAACCGACATTTTGGCCAATCCAATAGAAAGTGGAAAAGGTATCCTTGTGTAAGAAGGCAAAATGGAAATTTCTAAACAGGCAGCAGATCTTCTCCTTGGTGCTTTGCACTTCACCTTGCCTCCTTTTTTTCTCATGAGGAAGAGCTCTTTCAAGAGCTGTAAGCAGCCTCTTTCCAGTCTTAGAAGTTGCAGCCATATTGCATATTATTGTAAATTCTAGCTGAGAGCACATTCCTCACTTCTTAGTCAATGGCTTAACAGGCAACCTCAGTTATGGGGCCACAAAAGAGAGGCAGTATAGTGATTAATGACCATCATTGGTATTAGAGTTGGACTCTAATATTATGGCTCTGCCATTTTTTAAAGCTGTGTGAACTTGAACACATTATTTAAACTTTCTTAGCCTTGTTTTTCTCATTTGTATAATAGGGATGATAAAATTCCTACATCAAGGAATTCCCTGGCAGTCCAGTGGTTAGGACTCTCACTGCCAATGGTACTGGTTCAATCCCTGGTTGGGGAACTAAGATCCCACAAGCAATGCTGTGTGGCCAAAAAGAAAAAGAACACTACAGCATAGGCTTGGTGCATTACCTACAAAGTCATGTAGGTAAAGGCCTTAGCGTAGACTCCTGGCACAGAATAAAGGTTTATATACATTGGCTATTAAAAAGAAAATTCTCTGAAGCTAAGATGTATCACAAATCTGTTGTGATATTAAACACTTTTGCTCAGAGACAACCCATCAGGCCCACACTCAGAGTCTATATACTTAAATTTTGATGGTCAGGACTGATTTGTTGTGGTTTAGACATAGATTTGATGGGGGTGGGGGCTGGAGGTGTGGGGATCATCTGTTTTTCCACGACCTAGCATGTCAGGAGCTCCTATAATCTGAAGGAAGGGACAGGTGAGAACCAGGGCAACTGTCAGTAACAAGAGAGACAAGTGACAGAACAGAATAAATCAAAGCAAGCAAGGGTAAATTTTTGGAGTCTGAGGATATATAGAAAAGGCACAAGCAGCCTTACATTCCACAAGAGTCCCTGAAAACACCACTGTATCATAGAATAGTACAGTAACTCATGGTGACAGGGAAGCATACCTTAGTCTGTCAAAAAAGTTTGTGAATGTTCACTATTCAAGAAGGCAGAGAACCACATTTTCCATTGCCAGGCAAACAAAAACTTTCAAAAACTTGAAAAAGATCAACATTTTAGTGCCTGAAGACAGGCGAACTTCAGTTGCATGTTAAGTCCTCTTGGGTAAAACAACTTAACTTCAGACAAAGCCCGATAAATGAAGTGTCAGTTTATAAAGTTTAAATTACCTCTGCAAACTGGTACTGCATACATTCACCACTACCTCCCCCACCAAAAGACAGTGGCTACTCAACTTTGGTACAGAGAATCAGGGTCAACTTGCCTGTGATACTTTAATGAATGACATGTGTTATATTGTGATATATACCCCCTTTTGACTTGTGTTTTCTGCTCCAAAGGAGTGCAGTGAAAAGCAATGGACAGAAACCAATGACAAACAAGACTTCCCACAGAGACTCTTCTTGAGGATGGAGTTTATGGAAATTTCTGCCCCTCTCACTTGAGATTCCTTGATGGTAGCATGGGGTAGGCTGGGTCAGGTGGTCTTCCAGGTCCCCTCCAACCTGGATGTTCTAGGATACAGTCACCTGACCCAACTAATAGGTACCCAGTGAGTGTCCTTGCTCAGCCTCTCTAACAGCGCTCTGAGCTGGCTGTATGCACTCTGGAGGTCCTCCTTTACCAGTACAGCATCCACCAGGTGCCCATAATGCTGGTCTATGAAGGAGGCAGAGGCGGCCATCTCTTGCTGCTCCTCATCCTGCAAGGAAAAGGGGTAGTTAAGGTACAAGTGGGTTGTTATCCCCCTGACAAGTAATGAACCTACAACCTTTGTCTTGGGCAGTGTTGCAAGCTCTAAATTCTAAGCGATAAGTGGATGAATATGGCCCTTGAGTAGCCAATTGGGTACACAAGAACAGGGCGTAGTGATGCTAGCCTATCCAACGTCCAAGAAAAGTTCGTGTATTGTAGCCATAATCACTGCTCAGTCATTCAAAAGATATCTACTGAGGACCTGTTAGCTGATATGAAGTGCTTTGGATAGATGCTGAGTCTATATCTGTGAGTATATATATGTCACTATCACTTCCTGTCCAAAGGCATTTCCAAAATAGTACAATTAAGGTGCATGGCAATTTGGTTAAAATAACTACAGGAAAGAACCATAAATAGTATTCACTATACAAAAGCCAAGCACCCTCATTTCTGGAATCAATGAGGGTAAAAAGGAAAAGAAGTAATTTGAATGCCCTCAGAGGATACCTTAATTCACCCTGTAGAACTCAGTTCTTCTTTTCATTTCCTCGAACCAGAGCCAAACACTTGCGCAGTAGACAAAGGAGAGTTATTTGAGAAAGTCTGGGACAACCCTGACCCAATGCCCCATTTCCTTAGGATATCTGACTTCTATCAGATTGCTTTTCCGACAGCTAACACTAAGGCATAGACAGCCAATGAGCCCTCCTTCACCCAACCTATCCAAGTGTCTGCATCTTCATTCAGAAATACCTCTAGTAAGTAAAATTCCAAGCAGGTAGTTCACTGACAATGAACTTGGGTTTTGGAAGACAGGAAAGTGGCAGGATCCACTCTTAAGTAAAACTGCAAAGTGAAATTTCTCACCGGCATTCACCCACCTCCCTTTCTATCTCTTTCCAACCCTCTGTTGGCTTCTCTCCTCTGCTTCTAGGACTCTGTTTATTCTGTCATGGAAGGGGGTGAGCTGTCTCCCCCTAAAAGGACATTCCAGAATATTGCCTCCTCCTCTTCTGTCACCAATCAAAACCAATCAAAACCAAGTATGACAGTGTCCATACTTTCAGAAAATATGTTCTAAAGGGCTAGGAAACAGTTTTTGCCTGCTATCGCAAAGACAGTAGACCTACAGAAAGGCTGAGATGATTTCTTCTTCTTACTTCTAACCCCCTAGGAGGGGGAAAAAAAACTATTGAGTTGGCCCAAAAGTTCGTTCAGATTTTTCCATTACATCTTACAGAAAAACCCAAACAAATTTTGCCAACCCAGTAAATTAAATTGGGCCAAGCTTCCCAGTTCTTTATGGTATCTTGCAGGGCTCCTCTCCTACTCAAAAGCACCTTGCAGCATCCCACTGCTGCCCTTGAATCTAAAATTCTGCTTCTCCCACCCCCTTACACACACACATCCTATAGACCTGTCCACCACTTCTGGAGTTTCCTCTCCCCCGGGCACCCTCACGGTTCCTCCTGGAAGCATGTATCTATTCGAGAAATTATAGAAGGGACTTTTTTTTTTTTTGGCCCCTAAATCTGTCTATCTTCCTAATAAATATCTGTCTCTTGAAAGAACTCAAGTAAATCTGTAATGGAGTAAAACGTGTGACATTTGTTTTGCAGCCGTCAATCCCTTGAACCCTTTTCCTGACCTGTAAAGGTGGAACTCAACCACCTGCGGCTTCAGCAAGAGAGCCTCAGCCCTGAGCAGCACGTAGGGAAGACTCTCCCTGCTGCCCCTTGCTTCCATCTTGGATTAGCTTGCTGGACCTGAAGTTGGTGTTTCAATTAAAAATTACGCGGGTTTGACTTAGGAGTTCAACAAATTATTGTGGTTTGCCACACTCAGATCAGGTGCCTGAAAGAGGTCAGTCCTTTATTTTCTGAGAGGATGCTCATGTGAAGGGGTGGAGGGTGGGAAACCCCGGTTAAGTCACCCCTGTGTGAATCAGGTGGTGCTTCCAGCTGCACCAGCTTAAGCCTTCCAATCATCACATGACATTTGAGTCCGGGCAACAGGCAAAAATGGAAAGATCGTCTCATGCAGGAGGTACGTCTGCCCACATGCAGCTGAAACAGGCCCTTTTAGGCCTTGGGAGAGGAAACGATCAACTTGAAAACTTACAAGTGGGGCTGTTGCATCCTCACAAGCTGGAGACATGGGTGGCGTCTTCCTTTTTTCCTGAACTGCAGGCTTTACAAATATAACATAGGGTTTAAACTCTGAGGTCCTCAGTTGTTGCAGTACCTGAAAAAGAAAGTTCAGGAATGTTATATACTTCGAGAGTATTTTATTGTGAAATGTATTTCTCGCATGCTCAATAACGGTGTGCTTCATCACATCACCCCAATGGCAAAGGTCCTGACTATATGGTCATATGACAGTTGACTTCAACCACACAGACCACCTGCTCATTTTCCCACTCTTCACTATGACACTGGGCTCAGTTGGGTGCTGGAGGCTCACTCGCTGAGAACAGAGATTCCAAAGCCTCAGTTCCGAGAGCTGCCATCTCTCTTAGCTCTGCCCACCCTTCCCCAAGCTCTAATTAGCCTTCATACTCCCTTCTTTGCCTTCCTACTCCTGAAGTAAGAACCGGCAGGATTCAATGTGTGTATCTAGCCAGACGTCATCAATTTGGACTAACGCAAAATTTGTGCTATCACACAGGCCTCCTCCTTATGATATTCAAAGAAGAAAAAGTCTGTTATGCAAATGAAGAGACTAAGAGATCCCTTGAAGTAAACTGTAAATATTTTAAAAGGTTTTCCATATGCAAATTGTCCTGTTAATTAGCTCATTTTATTTATGATGTGAGGGCCTCTTTTTGGACACACTGGTATTAAACTGCTATATATACAGTTTGCATGCCCCCACCCAAATCATAAAATCACTTCTCAAAAAATTTTTAAATTCAGACTTTTAATTTCAACTACCAACGCCCAGAAAGTCCAAATTAATGAGGATTTTCCTTTCTGGACATAAGGTGCTTTGGGGAATCTGTTTCAAGTCTAGCTCTGTAAAATAAAACCTACAGTTTATGTGATAAAATCAGAACTCTGTTTCCACACAGGGGGAAAAAATGCCCATACTGAGTTCAAAGCTTAGAAGTTTTTCTCAAAGGCAAGGTGAAAAAGATGGTTAAGCCCCTGAGGGGTGTGTGGGACTGGAAATGTTTCTGAAACACTTCACAAGGTCAAGTCTGCCCTTTTTCCCTTTCAAATTGCTCTCCTGACTGCCTCCCTCAGTGGTCCTCGAAGCCACTGACTTCACTTGTTCTAGCTGGGAAGAGGGTGGCCCAGCTTTCATTGGTGCATTTATATCTAACTGACTGTCCAGAAGAGCCTGGCAGGCTACAGTCCACGGGGTCACAAAGAGCCGGACGTGACTTCACAACTAAACAACAACCCTGACTGTCACATCTAATGGACCAGTTGGTCCATCATCTGCTGCATGATTTACTGCATGCAGTCTATCCCAGGTCTGTGGGCCACCAAGAAGGTCCTTCCAATTAAGGGAGTTTCTGCAGAGAGGTACAAAAACTTTCATTAGTCAAAGGGATATCCAAGGAGATGTCTGGGGTTTTATTTGCTTTGATCACACCACGTGGCACGCAGGATCTTAGCTCCCCAATCAGGGATCAAACCTGCACCCCCTGCAGTGGAAGCACAGAGTCTTAACCACTGGATCACCAGGGAAGTTCCAAGGAGACTCAAAGAGATGTTAACACTCACTGCTCTGGAATAAAAAGCCCCTGCACTGAGGTTGAATGTTCTGTAAAATGTATAGCCCCCTAGTTTACAAATTCCATTAATGGGAAACTCTTAACTGGCCCCAGGAACTCACATCTGGCTCCACGTCCACCAAACAAACTTTGTTTTTGGCCATCACAACCCGAATGGCTTCCAGGCTGGTTCCGTAGAGGTTTTCCTTATATTCACCATGCTCCAGGAACCTAGAACACCAACCACCACAGGGGTAAAAATGGCTTTCAGCTCACGAGCACGCTTGAATTCACACCGAAGGTAAATGTGAAGTGAAAGTTGCCCAGTCGTGTCCGACTCTTTGCAATCCTGTGGACTATACAGTCCATGGAATTCTCCAGGCCAGAATACTGGAGTGGGGAGCCTTTCCCTTCTCCAGGGGATCTTCCCAACCCAGGTCTCCTACATTGCAGGCAGATTCTTTACCAGCTGAGCCACGAGGGAATCCCAAGAATACTGGAGTGGGTAGCCTATCCCTTCTCCAGCGGATCTTCCTGACCCAGGAATCAAACCAGGGTCTCCTGCACTGCAGGCGGATTCTTTACCAACTGAGCTATCAATGGCCCGCCACGATTACCACCCCCGCCCACCCTGGCCCCACTTCCTCTGCTTTTTCCGGGAAGCCTTCCCAGGAGGTCAAGTGGAAGATTGGCCAGATGAAGAGACACACAGCTGCAAGGAGGCCCCACTGGCCCATCAAGATGACATACTTGTTGTGATGCAAGTCGGCTTCAAATGTTTGCTTAGAGACAAAGTGATACTCTACTCCTTCCTTCTCATGGCTCTTCCGGGGCCTGGTGGTATCTGTGGAAGACAGAAGGACCACTGGGCAGAGATGTCATGTCACAGCAAGGCTGTGCTCTCGTTCCTTTCAGAGGTTCATCGCTGATTTGTGTACAAACACCCACTTCCCTTCACCCAGGGTCCCTGTGTGCAGGTACACCATTGATTTGCACAGCTCTGTGATGTCGGCAAAAGGAGGCCCCAGTTTTGCAGGTGAGGAAACTGAGAGGTGAAAAGGTTAAGCCCCATTCTGAGGTCCCAAGGCTGGCAGGGAGCAAAGCCAGGCTGAACACACTCTGTCTCAGGTCAAGTGTATGCCCCTAACCACTCAGCAAAACTGCCTCACTGATGCTGCGGGTTTTAAAGAATTGCTAAAGGAATTCCTAGTCCTCTAAGTTTTTATTTCCCAATTGCTTCTCTTTAAAAAAATATTTTAATTTATTTATTTGGCTGCACCAGGTCTTAGTTGTGGCACACAGGATCTTCTATCTTTACTTCAGCATGAGAATTCTGTTGCAGCATGTGGGATCTAGTTCCCTGACCAGGGATCGAACCCAGCCCCATGCATCAGGAGCTCAAAGTCTTAGCCACTGGAGCATCAGGAGCTCAAAGTCTTAGCCACTGGAGCATCAGGGAAGTCCCTCCTAATTGTTTTTCTTTTTGAGAGCCAAAGAGGCAAAAACTCAGATGACCCTGCTATATGCTTTTAACTCTTTATTCAATTATTTCTCATTTTAAGAGGAAAGGAGACATGAAGACAGTCCCCTTATGGACTGGATGTTTCTGCACAGCTGACTCTTACACAATTTTAAAGCACAGAGTGTTTTCCCTCTGATTTCCATAATAGAATCAAGGTGCACACCTCTGGGGAAAATCAGATTCCCCATAGAACAAGGAACACACTCAAAGCAGTACACAGCTTTTTCCAGAGCATTCTGAAAGAAAAGAAGGTGTCTCAGAGGGCAGGCACCCAGGGGATGCTCCGCACTTTAATGTGTGACCTCTTTGTCCAACCTCTGGCAAAGCTGCTAGGGTCACTTGTGACCATGTTCTTGCGTTAATACTTTTATTCACTCACTGATTACATTCCAAACACTTTAGATGAGTATATGGGACCCTCTCGATCAATCCAGCCTCCTATTCAGCTGCATACCCCACCAATCACCCACATGAAGCTCCTCACTCCCTCACACTGCTCCTCTGGGTCACACCTTCAAACCTTTGCATTTGTTCTCTTGATACAGAGAACTCATTCTTCTCTGCCTGGAAAACTCCTACTTACTCTTCAAAACCCAGCATAAAAGTCACTGCTGCTGAAGTCAAGGCCCCAAAAAATCTTCGTGTGCACACACATGTGCATGCATGCACATACACACAAACACACACACTCGGACCCTCTTACGTGGAATGGCAACACCAAAATGCTGAGGGCTCTCTGCCACCACCTTCTGTTTCAGCTCATGTAGTCGGGCTCCCAGAGACCCTAAGAAACAAGAGAAAGGCTGCCAGGTTCCAGCTGGGCTCCCTCCCTTCCCCTCCGGGGAGGAAACCTGCCCATTCTCTGGAGATGTCACCTACCAATCAGAACCACCAGGCGGGGCCGCTGGCCAGGCTGGTGCTGGTACCTGGTCACCTCCTCGTAAGTTGGCAGCTCCGGAGACTCGGCCACTGCAGACGACTTTCCCTCCTGTGGGCTTCCCAGTCTCTCTCTGCGGCCCAGCCGGAAGCTCCTCCGAAGACCAGCTTGGAGAGAAGGGCAGGGGGACACCGTGGTATTTGTCCCAGCATCTCCCTGTAGACTTTCTCTACCTGGTAAGACCTGGAGGTGCGACTGAGACCCACTGGCCTCTCCCAACCACATCCTGCCGCAGGATGCACCGTAATATGATGAAAGGGGGACCACCTGGCATCCAAAATTAGGGTTCAAGGCTACTATCTTACTTGGCATGTGACTGACCTCAGGCAAGTCATCACCCCTCTGAGCCTCAGTTCCCCTATCCATGAAAGGAGACGCAAATCTACAAAAGCAATGGGTGCTCCTAGATTGGATCCTGGGTCAGGGGAAATGCTCTAAAGGACATTACTGGGACAATGGGGGAAATGTTGATATGAACAGCATAAATTTTTCTAAAAAATAAAATAAAAAAGAAATTCCCAGAATTTGATAATAGCCCTGGATTATAAGAAAATGTCCTTGTCCTTACAGAACACATGCTGAGCTATTTAGGGGTGAAGGGAAATGATGGCCGCAACTAGCTCTCACATGACTCAGGGTGGAGGATTAAATGTGTATATTCGGGACTTCCTTGGTGGTGCAGCGGTTAAGAATCTGCCTGCCAAGGCAGGGGACATGGGTTCAGTCCCCAGTCTGGGAAGATCCTATATGCCTCGGGGCAACTAAGCCCATGCACCACAACTACTGAAGCCCATGAACCTAGAGCCTATGCTCCACAACAGGATAAGCCACTGCAATGAAAAGCCCCCACACCACAACTAGAGAGTAGCCTCTGCTTGTCGCAACTAGAGAAAGCCTGTGTGTAGCAATGAAGACCCAAGGCAGCCAAAAATAAACACCTTAAAAAAAAAAAAAAGACTTCATAGTCTTAAAAATGTGTATATGCAGAAAAAGAGAATGATACAGTTAATACAGCAAAGTGTTAACGTCTGGTGAACCAAGGTGTAGAGTATATAGAAGTTCTTTGTACAATTCTCACAGCTTTTCAGTAATCTTGAAATTACTCCTGAATGAAAAGGTTAAAAACCCTTCACCTGTCTCTAGAGGCCTTTGAAAAGATTTAACAAAATAAAGAAGCAACGGTACTTCGGAGACTGGTAAAAGGCGCCACTGCCATATAGGGGTGGAAAAAATGCTGAATAAACTACAATTGGGGTTATGGTAATAATAAAATTGGTACTAAAGTAGGGGTCCTTGTCCAGGGTGCTGCTCCCAATGGCTGGATGAAAGTTGGGGGCAGGCTGGGACCCCGGGGCCAGGGCAGGCTCAGCTTGGCCTCTGGCCAACAGAGGCTGAAGGGAAACGTGGGTCCCACAGACTCAGCTGCTCGTGAGGGGCTCCTGGGTCTCAGTCACCTCTCCCTGGCCCAAGAGCCCGCGATGGGCTAGGTGGGGTGCATGGGTGGGGAGGGGTGTTAAGGCAGGGGCACAGGAGAGCCCCCATTACTTACCCACGTAGTGTCCTTTGAAATACCCCTCACAGTCACAGGTCTCTGGGAACCAAACAGAGAGAGGGAGGCCGGTGAGCCAGGCTGGACACACACCCCAGCCCAGAGGTACCCGGCTGCGGGTGGCCAGGCAGGACCCTCTGGGATGGAGCCTCAGAGGGGCTTGGGACAAAGGCCATGTCCCAGTCAGCCCTAGGTAAACATATTCCTCTGTTTCACCCAGTGCTCCATGCTTAGGCCACAAACAGCCCTTCCAGACCTGGTAGGGGTTCGGGGTCAGCAGGCCCCATTCCAGCCCCTCTGAGTTAGGGCCCGTGAGGATACGGAGGATACACTCGCCCTGCCCTCCTGTCTCCTGCCCGCTGCCCAGGCAGGTCACGTGACCAGCCCAGCCGGAGTCCGGGGAGAGCTGGGCCCGTGTCCCCACCAGCTCTGCGTGCCTGAGGGAGCAGAGAGCTGGGCCCGTGTCCCCACCAGCTCTGCGTGCCTGAGGGAGCAGAGAGGTGGGCCCGTGTCCCCACCAGCTCTGCATGCCTGAGGGAGCAGAGAGGTGGGCCCGTGTCCCCACCAGCTCTGCGTGCCTGAGGGAGCAGAGAGCTGGGCATGTGTCCCCACCAGCTCTGCGTGCCTGAGGGAGCAGAGAGGTGGGCCTGTGTCCCCACCAGCTCTGCGTGCCTGAGGGAGCAGGTCGGTCAGGCTGGCAGAGCCGGGAGAGAGATGCCAGGAGGGGTGCCTGAGGGGCACAGCCCCCCAAGAGGAGGGGGTAGAGGGGCTTGTTCAGACAGTCTACAGAAAAGGGACCTTGTCCATGCGCACAGGGGACAGATACCAGGCCTACCTTTGTCACAGGGCTCATCATCTGCGGTTTGCACAAAAGACAGATGGAGCAGCGTTAGCAGAGGGAAACTGGGAGGCCCTGCCACCAAGAGGCAGCCACAGCCTCGGGTCCTCGGGAGCCCTCCATCTGTCCCCTCTTTCTCTCCTCCAACAAACCTGTGATCTGAGCTGCGGTGCATTATTAAACCAAGACTTGCTCTAATTAGTCTTCCTGTGTGTGTCTCATTAGCGGCCCAAAGAAAGCCCGCTCATTACTGGCATAAGCAGCCTCAGGGCCAACGTACTCAGCAGCCCCTCCGACTTGACAGCAAGTCTGGAAAGGCGGCCACACAGCCTAGAGAGCAGCTCGCTGAAGGGTGTCTGCGGTGGACCGGGACCTGCTCCCGCTTTTCTGGGGTTTGAGACTCGCCTGGGCGAGCGCAGATGCCGGTGACGCACAGCACAGAGCAGGGCAGCAGGCCAGCTGTGTCCAGTCACCTGGTGTGGTTCTAAGCCCTCAACTTGGCTCCAAGCCCCACTCTCGACCCCCGGCTAGAGAGGCCATCCCCTGACGTTTCTTCACCACTAGGGGCTCTAACCTGGGGGCTCTGGAACCCTGTTCCCAACCCCATTCCCTTGACCTCAGGAGCCTCTGTTTAACTATCTTGGAAAAAAGGATGATCTGACTCCACTACCAACCAGAGCTGTTGACGATTACAAGGCAAGAAGGTAAGTGTTTTGTAAAAGGTAAGAGCTGCACAGAGTAAAATTCCCAGGTAAAATACAAGACACCAAGTTAAATGTGAATTTCAGATAAACAATAAATACTTCCTTAGTATAAGTGTGTCCCAAACTACTTTATTTCTTTTTCCAAGCTTTAAAGTTTTTATTTTGTTTTGGGGTACAGCCGATTTAACAATGTTGTATGTCTTCTTTAAAGAAGACATACAACATTGTTAATCGGTGGTGGAGAGGGAGGTGGGAGGGGGGATCGGGATGGGGAATACATGTAAATCCATGGCTGATTCATGTCAATGTATGACAAAAACCACTACAATATTGTTAAGTAATTAGCCTCCAACTAATAAAAATAAATGAAAAAACAAACAAACAATGTTGTAGTAGTTTCAGGTAAACAGCGAAGGGACTCAGCCATACATATACATGTAGCCATTCTCCCCCAAACTCCCCCCAACCACATCCAGACTGCCACATAACTTAAGCAGAGTTCCACGTGATATATAATAGGTCCTTGTTGGTTATCCATTTTAAATGTAGCAGTGTTTACATGAGAATGTCCCAAACATTGCATGGGATATACTTATATTAAAAACCGATTCATTGTTTATCTGAAATTTGAATTTAACTGGGCATAATAAAAGTCCTTTACTTTTATTTACCAAACCTGGCTGCTAACACAGAGGTGTGAGATCACTCACAGCCATTTCCAACCCCTTCCAGCATCAGTGGTTCTTACGTTGTCAGGGTCAGGGGGCCCCTTGGGGATCTAAGGAAAGCTGTGGAGCCTTCATAGATAGACCTCACAGACACAGCACAACACACACCTGCACACGATTCTGGAAGCGGCATCACCATGCCCTGCAGTGTTTTCTATGGGCCCCAATATAGTAGCTCCTCTCCAGGGAATAGCTCCCCGCCACCTACCCCCATTTCTCCTCCTCACCCTCAGGAGGCCTGAGAGCTCAGACAGGAGCAACCGCTCCAGCCCAGCGCGTGCTTCTTCCCCACATGACGTCCCAGGGCCCTAGGGTCCTAACCACAGCCCCTCTCTGAACTGCTTCCCTGAAGTGCCATCCTGCCAGGCTACTCACAGGGGGGCTTCTTGAGGCTCTGGGGACTCGGCAGGGTGCCTGTGGCTCTCCGGTAGTTCAGTCGCCTGTGGGGACAAAAGGGGATGGGCAGGCCAATAAGCTGGACCAGAGAACGAGTCAGAGGGAACCTTCTGGAAAACTCAGGGAAACCAAGGCCTGGGTCCCACAATGGGGTACAGCCTGGCACTCCAAGGGCCTGCTGGCTTCACACTGAGTTCCAGTGAAGAGGGACATTTGCACGGGTGCTCACAGGTTCGTGAGGGAAAAACCAAGCTTCTTGCTCTGAGAGAAGCTTGCCCAGCCTAAGATGGTCATTCACACACACAGGGGGCACAGCCCAGTGTCCATGGTCAGTGGTTGGTTGTTACTTTCCCAAAGCTGATTCTCAAGGAAAGGAAGCCCCTTCTCCATAGTCACTCGGCTTCCCCATCTCGGGGGAAGCTCGGAAACAGCAGAATGACTCTTGGGAGAAGCCAAGGGCAAAAGCTACTCTAATTTAACGCTTTAACCACCCTCTTCCCAGCCCAATGGAGAGCTCAGCCTGGCACTTTATGTGGCCTTCAGTGGAGAAGCAGCTTCCAAGGCCTCATCTCTGAGCTGAGAAAACACCCAGGGCTCCTGGAGGTGTCTAGATTTCCACAATTAAATGCAGCAAGAGTGCCTTCCCCCACAACCTGTGAAGCCGAAGATGCAGATGGGTCCGAGGCTGCCCTGAGGAAACAGAGCAGCAGTCTTCAAACTCCAGCCCCTCAGAATCACCTGGAATATCTGTTAGAACAAGAGCTCAGACTCTGGCCCTGGGGTCTCTGATTCAGTAGGTCTGGGACAGGGCCCAGGCAGGGACTGGCTTTTCTAACAAATTCCTAGGGGATGCTAACGCGCCTGGGGACCACACCAGGAGAGCCATTGAAATGGATGAACCCTGAGGTTTGTAGATACAGCATCATTCCACACCCCTAAAATGGAAGAGGGCTACAACTCTCAGGAGAGGCATTGCAGGCATAAATGCCACACCCTCTGACCCAGGGTTTACAGTTCTGGAAATCTAGCCTAAGGAATCAATTTGAAATATGAGGACCAGACTATGTGCAAGATAATTATTACAGCCTTGTAGCAGTGAAACATTGAAGAGAGCTTCAAAGTACAGCCACAGGGAAAAAAAGAAGTCATTTGAAGTATGACCTTTCTTCCATGAAGCCTTCCATGCTGGCCCAGACTAGGGCCAGTCCTCCTACTAAGACCTGGTATCCTCCACCCTCACACCCATCACATTTATATAACCATGTGTGACTTTTCAGCTAAACTGTCAGCTCCTGCAGGGTAGAAACCATAGTTGCTGCCTGTGAATAAATAGTACATCTCCTGATGAAATATTATATTACCATTAATTAATATTATATTGTGATTAATTGGGCTTCCCTGGTGGCTCAGATGGTAAAGAATCCACCTGAAATGTGGGAGACCTGGGTTTGATCCCTGGGTTGGGAAGATCCCCTGGAGAAGGGAACGGCTACCCATTCCAGTATCCTGAACTGGAGAATTCCACGGACAGAGGAACCTGGCAAGCTATATAGTCCATGGGGTCGCAAAGAGTAGGATAGGACTGAACGACTTTCACTTTCACACTCTTCACTATTAATTAATAGTATAGAATAAATACTATTATTCTATAGTAATGTTGGAAATGCTCACGTCAAAATGTTAAGTTATCAAAAAAAAGAAAACGTAAGACCTCAAATTCTATATGCACCACTCACATAACAGGCACAGGAAGGAAATAAATTATGCTGTTTAGATAGTGGTGAGACTGGGTAATTTTCTTTTCCTTACCCTCCTCTCCTGTATTTTTTATTTTTCAACTTGCCCTAAGTAGGCATTATAAAATATACATTAATTTAATAGTATAGATTTATATACGCTGACTAAAATCTCAAACAGCCATCACTACTGATGATAAGAGAAGAGCCAACACAAGCACAATCGGTACTTTGCTTAGAGAAGGACACCCTGTGGGCACCCCCACCCCGGGGTTTGCTAGCAGTGATTTAGGGCTCTGTTATGCCTCCGACCACTCTAGAACCACACCCCCTTACAACACGCCCCAGACCCACCTTTCCTGGAACTGCTTGGAAGGGATGAGGCCAGCTCGAAGGTTGGTGTCCCCCACTCGCTTGGCCTGCCACCACGTGGGATCATCCTGACTCACCACCTCCAGGACCTGCCTGCGCTGGAAGGGCAGGCCTGCCTCCTGGCAGGGAATGGCCCGGTCCTCCCGAGGGTTGTAATGGAAGAGGGCCCGCATGAACACCTGCAGGGGAGGAGCTAGGTGAGACGGCCCGAAAGCACTGACGTGTCTGTGCCATATGGAAGGCCGAAGGAGGCTGTTCACAATTAGGAAGAACAAGCAGGGTCAAGAAGAGAAGGCTAATCAGAAACCCACCACACCTATTTTCTTACTGTTCTTCAATAATTTTTAACATCCCACTCGGGAAATCCATCAAGAATCAAAAAAAATGGGGACTTCCCTGGTGGTCCAGTGTTTAAGACTCTGCCCTCCCAAATGCAAGGGGCCCAGGTTCAATCCCTGGTCGGGAAACTAGATCCTCCATGCTGCAACTAAGAGTTCACCTGCCACAACTAAAGATCGGGCATGAGGTCGCAGAGAGGAAGGAGGATCCTGATTGCTGCAGTTGGGACCCGGTGCAGTCAAATAAATAAATAAATGCTTTAAAAAACATCAACTTGTTAAGCTATTTAAAAAAGAAAGAATCAGAAAACAATTCATGGATTTTCATTTCCAACCTAAACATCTCCTTATGAACCTGACCTGCTGTCCTTACAATAGCCTCTCAGCCTACACAAAGCAACCATTAGTCCTGGGAGCAAAAAAGCAAAGGAAAGCACAATTTCTACCTCAAATGTTATTTCTGATATGCTAACTGCCCCTAATGATGTCAGCAGCCATCTGTTAAATAAGTAGTCTAGATGTTTTGATAAGAACACAAATATCAATGAACTACTGTTACCGATTCATCATCACTTTCCAGTGGGTAATTGACAGTCACATCTTTGACAGTTCAGTCCTGCCTCATCAGTCACATACTTGGCCAACCCCCAGCTCTCTTCTGTACCCAGAAGCCATCCCTCTAGAGAACAGGATGGGAACAGAATTTGGTCCCATTTCTTCATTCTCTTCTATAATTCAGTGGCATGGATTTATTTACTCCTACTTCCAAATCATTATGGCCCAATTGCTTTAACAGCAAATGGGGGGGGCGGGGTGGAAAGCCAGAGGTTTTCTTTAGACAAATCCAAATCCTTTAGGTGCCAAGCAAAGGATATTCAGTTAGACAATAGTATGAATTTTCTGGCCATATATTAATATTATGAGGACAGGGACCCTCATTTAGCCATACATGTCACCAGGCTCCCAGGCACTCAAAAGAAGGCCAGCCCTGACCAAGCATCTAGCTAAAAGAAAAATATTCAAAAAGGATGGACTAAGAGATAGGCTACCCATTTTGTCCTCCAAGAAAACTAAATCCTCTCCTTGTATCACGTTAGAACCTGCAAAAGCTGAATATGGAGACCACACCAGCTTGTCCCAGGAAGAACAACCTTCCATCAGGTATTATGTGTGCCCCGGGATTCAACTGAAGGTGCAAATAAGAAATCATCATATGAAAATGATTTCTTCATTTGCATAAAAAAACCATTAAAGACATTGTCTGCTATTAATTGCCAGTCATCAAAATATTTATTGACATCTTACTCTATGCCAAGTGTTTTCATGCCCTATCTTTCCTGCTCCTGGTCCTGGGAGGTGGGGGCGGAAAATTTGTTTTCTTGAAAAATCAGCATGCTTCCTTCCATCTTCCGATGAGAAGTATGTAATTCATTATGTTCTCCTTTTTGCCTTGGCTGCCAGAAAGTTCAGATCCAAGTTTACTGGGAAATCAGAGTAATGCCTCTTCCATCCTCCCTACCACCACTTCAACTCAGGGCTTAGCAATCTCTCACCTGGGCTTTTACAAGAGACTCCTACCACATGCCCTGGACCCCATCTCCACCCTCCTCCACACACTGCCCTAGGGAGCTTTGTAAAACACAGATGTGATTTCCATTACTTCCCTCTCAGAACCTAAACAAGCAAAGAACACCAAAAAACTAAATACCTTTAGGAGCTTCTCACTGCCTATGAGGTTGTTACTTGGCCTGTGGGGTGCCTTCCCGTATTCCCCGGGGCCTTACCTTTTCAGCGCACCCCACCCTGACTGCCTAACAACTTCCTCCAGCCACTGGGATCTGCTCTCCCCTAATCCAGAAGGGAGGAACTGCTGGGAATTAACCCCTGGGGTACAGCCTGGTGAGAGTTGGTGTCTAGATTCCCCCCCCCACAGCTCTCCCAGCTCTTAGGAGGAATGGAGGAGGCATGGTCTACAGGGGACACCGAATTCTGAAGCAGGATTAAGTTCTGGTTGTCTGCAGTGGTAACTTGCTGAGAACACACCCTTTGTTGCACTGGCTGCCTTCCCTTCCCCAAACCTGTTCTGGTGTTTCCTGGGGTCACTGCCAAATAAACAATTTGCACTAGAATCCTTGCACTGGGGTGGGCTTCTGAAATCTAAGCAGGGATTATGCCAAAACTCTGAACAAAGCATTCAAGGCCATTCAGACAGAACCTTAACCCACCTCCCAGCACACCCCACCCTCCTCCTGGAGCCCCACACAATGCGCTTTCTCATGGACCTCACACTCCTCTCTGCCATGTCTGTGAGCCCCCGCTTATGCAGACCCTTCTGCCCGCCCTTCTCTTCTCCCTCTTCTTCTAGGCTCACTGCCAACCCTCCTATTATGTGCCACCTTCCAAAGTGCCTAGGGACTTCCCTGATGGTCCAGTGGTTAAGAATCCACCTGCCAATGCAGGGACACGGGTTCAAGCCCCAGTCTGGGAAGATCCCATATGCCTCGGAGCAACTAAGCCCATGTGCCACAACCACTGAGCCCTAGAGCCCTATGCTCTGCAACAAGAGAAGCCATTGCAATGAGAAGCTCGTGAAACACAACCAGAGTAGCCCCCGCTCACTGCAACCAGAGAAAGCCCACGTGGAGCAATGAAGACCCAAGGAAGGGGAAAAAAAAGTGCCTAGAACTCTGCTGCAGTCCATGGGTCACAAAGAGGCGAACGCAACTGAGCGACTGAACTGAGAACTCTGCACAGAATTTTCCTGAAGCACTTATCACATAACAAGGAGACACTGGGTTCCCAGCCTCCCCTACTGAACCAGGAAACCTCTAAGCTACTAATCATCCTGGTCTCCAGCATCTGGCAGGGCGCTTGGCACAGAGCAGGTGCCCACCAAAGGTAGGCTCCACCAGGAATTAAACAAATGGCAGTTACTTAATTGGGCCTGAAACTGGAACATTTGTTATCTTCTCCTCCTCTTCATGGCCTGGCTTTTCTACTTCAATTAGAAGAACTTTGTCTTTTATTAGTAAGCTACGTCAAATCCTGTTTAGAAGAGATGGGGTACAAACAAATGAATCACTTGGTGACTAAATTACGGGTCTCTACCGAGCACTTGCTCTGAGGACCAGATGGATGATCTCTTCCCGAGTGACTGTTTCAAAGACAGGGCTGGAGTCCCACCACCCCCACCACCCCCCTTGCCCACTCCCCTGCCTTCAGCTCCCCCATACCTTGCTGTCCTTTAGGCGGTCTTCCTCCTGGGTGGCTGGGATGATTTTCAGGGTGATGGATCCCTGGGACTGCGCCTGAAAGGAGCCAGCACATGACCATATCATCTCCCAGGTCTAACCCTCCAGGACATCACATGTTACCTCCCAGATCTGGGAACTCACATGCAGCAGGAAAGTTGGACGTGCGGCCTCCCCTGTGACCCGCCCTTCTGCGGTGGCACCTAGCTGAGTTAACTCAAGCATTTTTATGGGACAAAAGGACAGAACACTTTTCTCTTTTATGGCCACGCCACACAACTTGCGATATCTTTGTTCCCTGACCAGGGATCGAACCTGGGCCCCAGAGAATTGAAGGCGTGGAGTCCTAAGCACTGGAGCACCAGGAAAGTCCCCAGAAGATTTTAAATGAGAACTCGAGAACAATGCCTCAACAAATACAGCTCTCCCTCTCCCTCCTGACCTCTAGTGCCCCCAAGCGCTGCCCTTCTTTTCTCTTGGGTTATTTTCACATCATCGTTCAATTTCATTTTCCTGCTTCCTGCCTGATTTGGGGCTGGTTCCCAACCAGCACTTCCCTGCTGACCTGCATCTTCCCAGTCTCAGGCCACTCCATCTTCCCCAATCTCAGGTCCCCCTCCCTTCTACCAGAGACAGATCCTGCACCCCACGTGGGGACCCATGGGGAAGCACATGTCAGCCCATTGGAGCACATCTCACCCAATGCTGTCCCTGATCCCGCCTCACTCTGGAACATGGGAGGCTGGTGCCCCGAACCAAGGGAAAAGGAGAGGGGGCAGAAAGACTGAAGGGTCTGCCTGTAACCAGGGTCCCCTATAGTAGGGGCCTTAAAGAGTGGGCCTCCAAACTTGAGATCCCATTTCGCATTGAGATCTCATCCCATTTCTACCCCCACAAACCATTAGAAGTTAGCAGTGTCATGTTGGGAGAGGATGCCTGAGGATTATAGAGCTCAGAACTATGACAGGGGCTTTTTATGATTTCAGTTTCGAACTGAAATCCCAGAATGGACTGAGAAGGTTGTTTCTATCCCAGCACTGGCTACCCTAGAATCCCCTCACAGTTGTGAAATGCAATGCCCTCTTCTGGATGTTTACATCCTAATGATAACCACGTCTTGGTTGAGAAACCATCCCTACCCCTATTGTACAGGAAAGGAAATCAAAACTTGATGATTTGATGACTTGTCCATCAAGATTGCACAAGGCACCCCTGGTGGCTCAGTTAGTAAAGAATCTGCCTGCCAATGCAGGAGACCTGGGTTCAATCCCTGGGTCAGGAAGATCCTCTGGAGAAGGAAATGGCAACCCACTCTAGTATTCTTGCCTGGGAAATCCCATGGACAGAAGAGCCTGGCGGGCTACAGTCCATGGGGTCACAAAAGAATCAGACACAACTTAGCAACTAAACCACCACCACCACCAAGGTTGCACAATTGTAACATGATGGAGACAAGATTCTAACCCAGGACCAGCTGACCCCAAAGCCCTTGCTCTCCTGTGCTACAGCCTTTTACTCCATATTCCTCAGCTCTTTGGAAGAAGGGATCCTTTCAAGAGGGTCTTCTAGAAGGGTCCTCAGGAAACAAGGCTGGGGGTAGGGAGGACAGCTAAACTGAAGACAGGGTCTGAGAGAGGCAGGTGGTCTGGACAACAACCCCCGCCCCCTGCCCGCCCCAGTGCAGGGCACACGGTTAAGGGTCACTAGGCCTGCAGTCTCCCCATGAAAACAGGGAGACTGGGCTAGATCAGCCCTGGCTCCAGGAAGCACCCAGCTCTGGGTCTCTGAAGAACCACCGCACCCCCAGCTCACGCATGGCACGGACCAGAATCTGGCTAATCTCGTCGGGCCGCTTGTGCAGGACTGTGATCCCGTTCACTTCCCGGAGCTCGTCTCCAACGTGGACCAGGCCTAGGAGACAGAGGGGCTGACGGTCAGCACAGCAAGGGAGACAAGGTTCCCAGAGCATGACGTTTTGGGCACCTCTGGCACCCACCTACAGAACCCAAGCGGGGGAGATTCAAGGCTTAAAGGTAGTGGATGGGACTGGGATGAACTTATCTCCAGGTGTGCTGGGTGGCTCACCCCAAATCACAGCCTCACAGCAACCTGGTGAAACCCCCCAGTTTACGAACAGTCAGCTGAGATTCAGAAAAGCGATGCAGCTTGCCCAAGGCCACACTGCTAAGAAATTATGGAGCCAGTGCATAGATGCAGTTACTTGGCTATAGAAAGCCTATGTTCTTTCTGCTGTCACCTCTGCTTCTTTAAAAATATCATTAACTCTTCCCCTTCCTGTGTGTACAGACATAACTCCAAGGACAGCCTTCTCCAATTTTACATGAAAACTGAAGGGCACCAGAGAAGATGGAGTCAAGAGTGTTAGACACAACCGTCTGTTGGCCTCTGCTTTAATGACAAACAACTCTGCATATGGGGCCCTATCTGCCACTCAACATGGACACTGGTCCAGAAGCAGCAGCATCACCCAGGATGCAGGAAGGGCTGCAGAAGTCCTGGGCACCCCTTAAGACCTGCTGAGTCAGAATCTGCATTTTAACAAGACATTTGGGTCATTGCCGTGTTTGTTAATGGGAGGCACTGGTCTTAGGGCTCCCACCACAGTGGGCCCCAGACTTTTGGGGGCAACACTCCCCTACATCAGGAGATCTGCCTCCCAACTTAGTCCTCCACACACCAGAGATTCTTTTTCTTTTAACTTTTTATTTTATATTGGAGTATAGTCGATTAACAATGTTGTCAGGTTCAGGTGTACAACAAAGTGATTCAGTTACATATGTTCATGTATCTATTCTTTTTCAAATTCTTTTCCCATGTAGGATATTACAGAGTACTGAGCAGAGTTTCCTGTGCTATATACAGGAGGTCCTTGTTGGTTATCCATTTTAAATATAGCAGTGTTTACATGTCAACCCCTAACTTCCTATCTCCCATCCCGCCCATCCTCTCGGGTAACCATAAGTTTGTTCTCTCAATCTGTGAGTCTGTTTCACAACAGTAATTCTTAACCTGTTTTCTACTCAAACAAATCTGGGACATGAACACCCTCCCCGTGGTAACTGAGGCTGGCTAAGGCAGCTGGGGTGTCAGGAAAGAGTGTCTTGCTCCCCAGTTAGGATTTACCTACCAAGCTCAACTACCACAATCCCCAGGCTAAACCAACGCACAAACCCTCCTGATCTCCCTCAAAGGACTCCATGCCGGACCTATTTTCAAACAACTAAATTTTCTACTGGGCTTAGGAAGGAGAAGAGAATTTCAGTCCCACTCCCAAAAAGTAAAGCACATCCCGAACAGGTGAGCCAATGGGAGAAGGAAAGGAGACCCATGACCAAAGGAGGAAGGCTGGGGGGACCATGGCCATTACCGTGGCCAGGCCGGCACTGATGCCACTCACCGCTCCGGTCTGCTGCGCCCCCTCGCATGATCCTGGCCACCACAACAGCCCCTGAGTGCTCATCCCGCCGGATGGTGGCCCCCTGCATCAGAGACAGAGCAGGCAGGCCCCTAAGAAGTAGCCTCGAACCTCAGACTCTGACTCTCTGGACCGGAGAGAGCCTCCCCCTCCCACCCCTGTTCCTCCCTCTGCCACCCCAGGGGGGACAGCCCAGCAGGCACCTTGCCATGCTGAGGACAAAATAAAACCAACATCTCAAATTAGTATAGCAAAGCACTTTAAACAAAGCACGACTGTAACGCTGTCACAGCCTCATGTGACAGGTAAGCGACAGGGGCACAGAGAAGGTAAGCAGCTTCAAGGTCACCCAGCTTTCTGGGATGCCAAGTGCAGTGTTTTCTCTATCACATCACAGCCCTTGCCTCTTGCAAAGACATTTAATCATGAGGAGAATACGTGCCAGCAAATTCTCAACCTGCCTTGAGCCAATCACGGGGTTGCCAGGCCTTCTGTTGTTGCCAAGGGGAACCAACTATGCCCCAGCCAGGGCTTTGGGACCAGGGACTTGGCCCCCAAAACACGGCAGGGATGATGTCTAGGATGAGAAGGGTACTTAACGAGCTCTCATGCACCAGGCAGGCTGGGCAATGGCGGGGCAGGGCAGCAGTCAGGAGTTGGATGGCCCTGGGTGTGAATCCACCCTGTCATTTACTAAGAACAATGGCCTTCTTTTAGCAAGGAAGCCTCTCATCTTCTCTGCAACTGTTTCCTCTGGGGTGTGGGAAGGCATTTGACTCTCAGGGTTGTTGCAAGGTTAACATCAGATAATACAGTCCAGGCACTTAGTACACAGTAGGTGCTCAATATGGGCTTCCCTGGTAGCTCAGCTGTAAAAAATCCACCTGCAACACAGGAGACCTCGGTTCAATTCCTGGATTGAGAAAAATCGCCTGGAGAAGGGGTAGGCTACCCACTCTAGTATTCATGGGCTTCCCTCGTGGCCCAGACGGTAAAGAATCTGCCTGCAAGGAGGGAGACCTGGGTTTGATCCTGGGTCAGGAAGATCCCCTGAAGCAGGGCATGGCAACCCACTCCAGTATTCTTGCCTGGAGAATCCCAATGGACAGAGGTGCTTGGCGGGCTACACTTCATGGGGTTGCAAAGAGTCAGACACAACTGAGCGACTAAGCACAAGTGTTCAATACATGCTAACCACTAATTATTGGCTGTAAGTGCAAACACACTGGCACACTTAATTATTAACTTCATTTGAAATCCATAAAATGAATGTTGCTGGAAAGAGAGACCAGCATCTAAGAACCCTGTGGCTTCATGCCCCTCAGACCATCAAACTTGGCAGCATCTCTGTCCATCCTCTCCTCCTCTTCCCCAAGTCAGCAGAGGGGATCCTCCTGGCTAGGCTGGTCCCTCCACCTCCCTCCCTCCCTCTCCTGCATTCTCAACGCCCCCTCCCCAGTGGCTCCTTCTCCTGGTCCTAAAAATCTTATCAAGCCTGTCCCAGCATTAAAAATGTGGCAGCCCCATCCAGTGGATGCCAGTCTCCATTCCTTCGAAGCAAGCTTCTCAAAGAGGCAGCACGCATCTGCTCTGACTCACTCCCTGCCAGCCTCAAGTGCACCAGCAAAAGGATCAGCGACCCTCGAGCTGCCATCTCAATCGCCACGCTCAGTCTCCTCTCTCTGATCTTGATTCGCCCTTTCCCTGGAATGCTCTCTTAGCCTGGGCCCTGGTGACACCCCTCTCATGGTACTTCTCAGTGACCAACTGGTCTCCTTGGCTGAGTCTTCCTATATCTGTCTTTTAAATGTTGATTAAAGGGCCAGCACTTGGCCCGTGTCCTCTCCTTGTCTCTTTCTATACACGTTTCACCCAGGTGGTCTCAGCCTCTCAGGTGGGATTGTAACCCCTTCTGGATGCTGGCAGCTACCACGTCCACATCTCTACACACCTAAGCCTTTATCTCCTGGACACCTCCACTTGCGGGCATCCAGGCCTCTTGAATTCAATGGATCCTAAGCTTCTCTTTATTCCCCCTTTTGAATCACGGTCCCACTGCCCACCTGTCATCCCAGCTGGACTCCTTCGCCTTATATCCAAGATGCCTCCCCAGACTCCTGCCCAAACTGGGACAGTCACAAAGTGACATTAGTTTTATTTCTGATGTATTTCTTGGATTCCTCTTCCCTCTTCCCACAAACCAAGGTCAAGCTCTGCCTCTGAACCATATGTATGGTTCAGAGGCAAATAAGTCCTCTGCAAGTAAGTCCCCTGCTTCCGGTCTCGCCCTCCAGGTGACTTTCTACTTCATAGCCAAGGTGATCTTTCAAACTGAAAATCTGACCATTTCTTACTTAAAACCCTTCAGTGGCCCCCCACTACCTTCAGAGTCCAGGCAAGCAACTGTGGGTGACAATCCAGGCTTTACACTCTCCTCATGATCTGGCCTCACCTCTGTCATGCTTGACCTCCAACTTGGCCAGTTCGCTGAATCTACCATGCCATTCACCTTCCCATGGCTCTGCTCATGCATTTCTACTGGTAGAATGCCCTTCTTCTCCCTCTTCCCTCTGGAAAAATTCTGTTCTTTTTCTAAAAAAAATTTAGCATGGGCATCACTTCTTCCAGGACACCCCAGTTATCACCTCCTATAAACTCTCAGAGGGCAACAACTAAGTCTGTTAATTGTTTTGGCTTTGCCATGGAGCACGTGGGCTCTTAGTTCCCCAACCAGAGATTGAACCTGCAGCCCCTGCATTGGAAGGATGGAGTCTTAATCACTGGGCCACCAGGGAACCCCACAGACTAAGTCTTAATCCTCTCTGAACTGCCCACACCTAACATGGCACACAGGAGGGTTCACGATGTGTTTGCCGAGTGGATGGATGACTGCCCCCATTTTGAAAGTAAAGAACCAAAAGCAGAGAAGAACCCTGGGCAGTTTGCAGAAGCGGTTCATCTGAGGTCACTTGGTGAAAGTTGACAGTGAAGAAAGCTAGCTGTGGTATTCTCTAGGGCATGCCCTCAATTCTCTGGACTGCCGCTACTTCCCTCCATCTAATAAACAAATCTGTCCCTTAGCTCGGTAAATCAATGCTGAACCGGGACCAAAATGATAACAATCTGTCAGCTGCAAAGAAGAATGGCTGCTACCCTAGGTTTCCTCAGAACTCAGAATAGAGGTTGGCCAACTTTTTCTGGAAAGGATCAAGTATAAATGTGTTATGCTTTGCAGGCAACACGGATTCCGTTGAGTCTGCCGTTGTCATGTAAAGGCAGGGCCCCCAGACGACATGTAAATGAACTGGATGGCCAGGCACCAATAAAACTTTATTTACAAACACTGACTGGGCTGGGTTTAGCTGTTGGATCATAGTTTGCCAGCCTCTGGTTCAGAGCATGATGATCAGGGCTGCCCTGAACAGTTTTGCAGGTTCTTGACTGCACAAAGGAGCTTGGCCACAGCAAAGGGAGGCTGAATCCACCCAGAGAAAGGAGTACTCTGCACACAGTGGTGTCACAGGGACTAGCGGCAGCCCTGACAAAGCTGCCATCACTTACTCCAAAGACTGCAGTGGGGGGTCCCTTCCTGGGTTTCTCAGTGGGTGGGTGGGAAACAGGGAGAGCATGGGGAAGAGAGGTGAGAACCACATACCAAGGGTTCCTTGTTTTTCACCAGGCGGACAATCTTCACTGATTCTTCATCAAAATCCTCGTCGATGTTATCGGGCAGAGGGGGGAGAACAGGGTCAAAATTCTTCTGGGCAACTGTGTCGTGTACCATGAGCATGGCCTGTCATGAAAGCAAGACAGCAGAAGGGCTAGCCTCCAAAGCACATGGGGGTCTGGGGGACCTGGCCAGGGGGCAGTGGTTTGGGGTCCCGGATCTCATGCCAGAGAGATGACCTCCCCAGACACTTAGGCAGAGGAACCCTAACTCCGAAATCTCCTTTCCTCAGTTTCACGGCCAAGCACTCCTCCTATCCCCACCCCGGGAGACACAGATGCATGGGTGGGCAGGGACTGTGGCGTGACTACCCTGAGGTGGGGGGTGGACAGCAGCTGGAGCAGCTCCCTCTCGTCACTGTGCACGGAGGCAGCCTGCAGCTCCTCCATCACCTGCAGGGGGAGGAGAGAGAAGGCCACAGATGGCTGCAGGTGCTGCGAGCCTCCTGGGAGTCACCCAAGCGGAAACCCTGCTCCCTGGGCCCCCCAGCACCAGGGGGCACTGGACCCTCAGTCACCCCAGGACTGTGGCTCCCGGGGAAGTCATTCCAGGGATCAGAGAGCATGAGAAGCCTCTGTAGGCTAATCCTAATGGGAGCTAATTTATGAAGGCTTTCCTGGGTGTTGTTTGCCTCACATGGATTAACTCTCACAACAAACTAGATGGAGCAGGTACTATTATTTGGCCATTTCACTGGTGAGAAGTAAATGAGAGAGATTAAATATTCTGCCCAAGGTCCCCAAGGTAGTGAGTGGCACCATCAGGACTTGAACCTGGGCTTATCTAGCTCTATTGTCTCTACCCTCACCATATTTTCCAGATGAGGAAATTGGGGCTCAGAGAGGTTGAGTGATTTGTTTAAGGTCACACAGCAAATATTAGAAGCAGTGCTGAGCCTAGGAGCCTGGCAACCTAACCTGCTCCTAATGGCATCTCACAGGCAAGAAAGGCAGGGAATCTGCCCCTATCCCTCACTAGGCTATCTGCTGGGGTGACGGGATTTTATTCAGAAACAGGCTTTAGTAATCAACTAGGACAGCTTTTTCAATCATGTGACACAAAGGACAGGTTCACAAGAAATAAGGAAGGATTCCTTTAAAAAAAACAAGAAGCCTGGGAATTCCTTGGCCGTTCAGTGGCTAGGACTCGGCATTTTCACTGCCTGGGGCCCAGCGATCAAGGCCCACCAATCCCTGGTGGACCCCACAAACCACACAGGAGCAGCCCAAACAACAAAAAACAAAGCTGCAAGTCCCTGGACCCAGGACTTCACACTGGGCCTCCACAAAGCACAGATATGCAGTGTGCATGTTTGACCTGATCTTGTCGCCAGCCCTCAACTGTTTGGGAACTGCTCTCATCACAGCTGGGAAAACAGACTTTCTCGGGAACACACAGTAAGTGGGTGTCACCATGTCGCCATGGCCCCTGGCCCTGTCCAAAGCTCATCAGTTTCTCCCTGCCTATTAGGAGGCTCAGGGAAGAGGTGAAGGGGAGGAGACTTTCTTCACCTTGGGGCTCCTGAGCCCTGATGGTCCCTTGCTAAACAATGGCAAGCAGGCCAGATGAAGGAGCTAGGGGTGGGAGAGGGGCTGAGGCCAGAAGGAGAAACTGGGGGCTTACATCTTCGGCGAGGGCCACAGCGCTGTGCAGGACGGGGGTTGGACTTTGCCTCTCGTAATAGCGAAGCTTCTCGTGAATCTGCAAACATAGCCGAACTCAGGCTGGGGCCTCCCAAGGCAGCTGCCCAGATGTACCCTGGATGTCACACAGCCCACCCACAGCTGTGAGGATGCCTGGGGCTGCAGACCAGGTCATTCAGAGGGCAGCATAAGGGAAAGACCTTCCTGGGGCAGAAAGGACTTTACCTTCATTAAATAACTGAGGCTTTTTTCACTGAAAACATCCCTCAGAAAGCCCATCTCTTCCTTGTGGTTGGAGTCAGGTCTCAGCTGAGAGGTCAGTAGTGCCAGGGTTTCATGCAAACCTGAGGATGGAGTGAGAAAAACACAGTAGAGCCAATGCAGTGGCTACTTCCTGCCCCGGGGACCCCGAGCGGACCCTCCAACCATACATCAGCCCTGCCGGGGGCACGTTTTCTCCCCCGGCTCTCATTCCCAGGGCTCCGAGCCAACAGCGCTGGCAGCTGCTTTCTTTGCTGCCCCGGGTTGCTGGGCAGGCTCTTGTCTTCAGGACTGTGGCAGGCCCGGCCCCGGGAGACACTCACCGGAGTCCTCAGACAGCACCGGCATGTCTGTGCTGCTTAGATCTCTGCCTGTGGATTCTGGGAGAAAAAGAGGGGATGGGGTGGGATCTGAAACCCTGGCAAGCTCATTCATTCAACAAACAGTGATTACGCGTGTACTGTGACTGTCCATTACCAATTCGGGGACAGAAGGGATGGGAACAAATCCTCCACTCAGTTTTTTCAGAGAGGAAGGAAAGAAAAGCAAGTTTGCTGAGTCCTCCCAATGTGTCAAGCACTGTCCTAGTGATTTCATATGACATTTTTCTTAATCTGTTCAAAGCCCTGAGGAACGGACGTTAATATTTCCATTTACCTGATGAAGAAACAGAGGCTGTGGAGAGGGGCGTTCAGTAAATTGTAGGTCAGAATCTACACTCCATTGGCCCTTCCAGGCAGGTATCAGATGAGAAGTGGTCCCTGCCTGACAGCGGGTGCTCTCCTCCACAGAGCCCCCCTCCTCTGTGGCCTTCTAAGGGGCCTCTCTCAAGTCTCCCGACTGTCAACAAGTACCTGGCTGGGCCTACAAGCCCCTCCTTCCCCACCATTCCCAAGCCCCAACCAGAAGCGATCCTGCCCCCAAAATAGAGCGTAGAGAGGAGGTGGAGAAAGGAGAGTCGTGTCTACTATGCCGGCGGGGGGAGCCCTATCTCGGCAGGCCCCCCAACGTGTTTTGCAGCACGTGGATCTCAAAAAGTCCTCCTTCAGAAGGGGATAAGGAAGAGTAATGATTCATTCATTCCGCAAACATGGAGCCAGCCCCACAGCGCCCGCCCGAGTCCCGCGGACACCAAGATGCAGAAGAATGGTCCCCGGCCCTCCAGCCACCGCCCCGCCCCCCTACGCCAGACTCACCCTCTGGCTCCTTCGAGCTGTGCCCCCCACTCCCCCAGGCAGCCAAGCACAGACTCCGGCTCGCTTTGGGAAGGAACCTGTGGGACCACAAGGAGCGCGGCTGGGAGAAGGCGAGGCAGGACCTGGGGGACGCTGGGGGCTGTCTCGGAGGATGCGGGCCGGCAGGAAAGGAGCGGTGCGCATGGAGGAGGGGGTAGGCGCGGAGAGGAGGCCAGGGACGGAGGGGCGGGGACTGAGGCACTCCCCCCACCCCCGACACACACACGCCGAGTGCTGAAAGGTGGACGCTTGCTTAACACAGATTTCGATTTTGCAAACATTTATTGCGCGCCTTCCAAGTGCCAGGCGCTGTGCCAAGGGCTGAGGGTTCCGCGAGCACCCAGGCCGGGATCCTGGATTTGAGAGACTCCCAGGCCCGGAAAGGAGGACCGGTCAGACGCCAGGGCAACTCGCTGTAACAATACAACGATGCTGGGAAAGATTTATCGGTGCGCGGGGCCCTGGGGGAGCGGAGAAAGGGGAGAGGAGAAGTCGAGTCGGAAGACTGCAAGGCTCGATTCTGCCCGGCTGTCGTAGGCGGGGGTGGATCTGCCGGGAAACGGCGGCTCGTGTGCAGGGGCTTCTCCTGGGGGACCTGCTCTGAAATAGCCCTGACGATCACTGACTTTATTGTGCTGTGTCTATGTCTGAGATACTCCTCAGACCACTTCGCATCGCATTAACTCCTGAGCTAGAGACAATTATTATTTCTGCTACGTGATTGAGGAAAACTGAGGCTCAGGGAAAAGGACGTGTCTGGAGCGAGAGGGTAGGAGCTGCGGGGTGAGTGAGCAGGTGGTTGTGGGTATTCGAGGGTGGGGAGTGGGCCAATGAGCCCCCTCCGCGCGCCCCCAGCACGCAGCACATACCCCGAGCATGAACCCAGGGGTTAAGCGTGGGAGTCCATCTAGCGCTTCATCATGGAAAGGAAATGGATCCACGGGCCTCCACAGCCTGTGTGCCTGGGGAGGCTGTCAGTGGCAGAATATGTCATGATCACATTTCCCCTCCTTCCTCAAAAATTATCTACACCAGTGCTTCTCAAAATGTAATGTGATTACAAATCATCTGGGGGTTGTGTAGGGCTGGCGTGGCGCCAGATGCTGCATTTCTAACAAGCTCCCAGGTGATGTGATGCTTCTTGTCTTAGGACCTCACTTTGAGTAGGGAAAGACTACTTGAGACACGTTTTTACTAGGGATGCTTAGTCAGAGAGATATCACGAGTAGTCTAATATAGGGTCAGCTGACTTTTGACATGAGCACCAACAAATGTGCCGGAAAATCTAGATATTCTGGGATGGAGGAGTCAAGCCCAACCTCACACCATGTACAAAGTTCAATTTAAGAGGGACCATAGGCATAAACATGAACTAAATTGAGAAAGCTTCTAGAAGAACACATAGAAGGATATCTTCTCAATCTTTTGGAAGCCGATGTTTTCCTAGAAAGAACATAAAAAGCATGGACTCAAAAAATCTGACAATCAAAATTTTAAATTTCTGTTCATAAAAAAAAAAAACAGTCAAGAAAATAAATAGGCAAGCAGCAGACTGCTCATAATTTATATATGACAAAGGATTTGTACCCTGAACAAAGAACTCCTGCAACTCCATGATAAAAAGGACAAACAACCCAACCAAAAATCAGGCACAAGGTATAAACACACACTTCACAAAAGATGATGTATAAATAACCAATAAGCAAACATATGAGAAAGCGCTCAACCAACATTATTTGTCTTCAGGGAAATGCAGAGTAATCCACAAGCAGGTACCACTTTGCATACACTGGAGGGTTAGAATGAGAAACACGTGAGGACTGGAAGCATTTGAAACCCAAACTACCATGTTAAAGTATTTCACAGTACAATCACTTCCAAAAGCTGTTTGGCAACTTCTTCAAAAAGTTAAGCATACAGCTCTCCCATGATCCAGCAATTCCACTTCGAGATATTTGTCTGAGAGAAATAAAACCTCTGTCTACATCTTCAGTACATCTTTATTCATAATAGCCAAAAAAGGGAAACAATTAAGGATGTCTACTAACAAGTGCATGGATAAATCATGGTACATCCTACAGAGGTATATTAACTCATCAGTGAAAAGAGACTATCAACATTATTCAAAGATTATCCCCACAGTGCAATAACATGGGTGACTGCCAAAACAAATTATACTGGGTGAAAGAAGGAAGACATGAAAAATACATACTGTTTGATTCTTGTGGGGTTGTGATCTTGATGTTGTCACTGCACTCAGAGGCCTTGACTTGGCTGGACCAGAAACTCAGTTTATTATTATTAATACTATGCAAATTACCCCCAGAAAAGAAATACTAACAGACTGACTTTAAGGGGAGGTGTCAAAAAATTGTTCCCTCAAGAAGCACCAGATAGTTCTGCAGAAGAACTCTAATAAACATTTAAGGAACAGTTATCCTGAACTCTTCTAGAACATAGAAATAGAAGGAAATCTTCAAAATTCTTTTTATGAAGTGAGCATAGCATTGATAGCAAAATCTGCCAAAGAAAGCAACACACACACATCAATCCTAGACACCAGTCTCATTTATTTAAAAAAAAATCCTAAAAACTATATTGGGCTTCCCTGGGGGCTCAGACGGTAAAGAATCGGCATGCTATGCAGGTTCAATCCCTGGGTTTGGAAGATCTCCTGGAGAAGGGAATGGCTACCCACTCCAGTATTCTTGCCTGGAGAACTCCATGGACAGAGGAGCCTGGTGGGCTGCAGTCCATGGGGTTGCAAAGAGTCAGACATGACTGAGCAACTAACTTAAAAACTGTATTAGCTGACAATATCACCAAAACACCAGAAGAATAATACAAAAGCTCAAGTAGAGTGTATTCTAAAAATGTTTTATTTAATACCTGGAAATTAAATGGCTTAATATCTGGAAAATCTGTTAACTCCATATAAGGTAATCCATTAATAGAATAAAAAGTGAAATTTTCATATTATTATGTCCATAGATTCTGCAAAGGCATTCATATATGACTTTTCAAATATATCTTTCAGGGAATTCCCTCACGGTCCAGTGGTTGAGAATATCCTTTCTCACTGCCAAGGGCCTGGGTTTGATCTTTGGCCGGGAAACTTAGATCCCACAGGATGCGTGGCAAGGTAAGCAAACAAACAAAAAACTTTCAAAACTGTATATCCTTTCCTACATATATACCCAAGAGAAATGAAAAGACAAAAACTTATACAAGAATGTTGAAGCAGTATTATTCATCGTAGCCAAAAGTGTAAAAAATCCAAAAGTCCATCAATTGATAAGGAGATAAAGAAAATGTGGTATAACCAATCAATGGAATATTATTTAGCAATAAAAGGAAATGAAGGGACGTCCCTGGTGGTCCAGTAGTTAAGAATCCATCTTGCAATGCTGGGGACACTGGTTCGATCCCTGGTCCAGCAAGATTCCATACACTGTAGAGCAACTAAATCCGTGCACCTACCTGTGCTCTAGAGCTGCTCCACAACAAGAGAAGCCACAGCAATGAGAAGCTCACACACCACAACAAAGAGTAGCCCCTGCTGGCAACAACTAGAGAAAGCCTGTGCAACAAAGACCCAGCACACCCCAAAATAAAATTCATTAATTACTTTTTAAAAAAGGAAATGAAGTATATGTGCCACAACATGGAAGAACCTCAAACATAATGCAAAGTGAAAGAGGTCTGTCCCCAAAGACCACATATTGTATGATTTCAATAATATGAAAATTCCAAAATGGGCAAATCTATAGCGACAGAAAGTTGGGAGAATAGAGGTTGGGAGGGATTGATAATGGGCCTGAAGTTTCTTCCCAAGATAATGACAATGTTCTAATTAGATTTATAGTGATTGTTTTACAACTGTGAATATCCTAAAAACTATTGAATTGTACACTTTAAATGCATGAAATTTATGGTATGTAAATTACATCTCAAAGTTGTTTTTGTAAAAAGTAAATGGTCTATATTCTCCAAATAAAAGACAGAAACTGTCAAGATAGATTTAGAAAGACTTAACCATATGTTAGCTAGCAGAAACTCACTCTAAATACAAAGACACATGTGTTAAAAGAAAATGAATTTAAAAAAAAGACTTAGCTGGGAAGTACTGAAAACTGAATAAGGAATAAGAAAGCTGAAGTGACTACATTAATATAAGGCAAAGTGTTAGGCCCTTAGCCGTGTCCGACTCTTTTCGACCCCGTGGACTGTAGCCTGCCAGCCTCCTCCATGGGATTTTCCAGGCAAGAATACTGGAGTGGGTTGCCATTTCCTTCTCTAGGTGGGATCTTCCCCACCCAGGTATCAAACCCATGTCTCCTGCATTGGCAGGTGGATTCTTTACCACTGTATCACCTGGGAAGCCCCAATATAAAGTAAAGTGGACCTCAAAACAAGGACTACTGCCAGGGATAAAGGGATAAACTGATGAGGGATCAGTTAATCAAGAAAATATATATAGAGAGAAAAAAAAAGAAAATATATCAACCCCAAATGTGTGTGACTGTAATAGTCAAATCTCAAGGTGCCTAATCATCACCAGAGTAATTTAACATCACTCTTGGTATGTTGGCCAATATGGGTAAATGAGAAAAAGAAATAACAGGCATAAATACTATAAAGAAGGAGGCAGCACAGATGATATATGTTATGTGTAGAAAACCAAGGGAATTGACTAAAAGTAGAAATAGAAATGATGGGAAAATTAAATAAGATGTCATAGGACACAATGGATATTAAAATTCAATGACTTTTCTATGAACAAAAAGAATTATAATTCATAATGAAAGAAAAATTCCAAACTAAAATATTTAATCTACCAAGATTAGATTAAATACCAAGTTCTAAACTGCATAGGAAAAGTAATAAT